AATAGCTTACAGTGTTCTTGATATTTATTCTGAAGTATAATTGGTACAAGTTGATTTCGAGAACGGATGGGGATAATCAACCATGCAAGAAGGAAAACAATAGAAACAAAGAATACAACACATAGATTTATGTGGCTCATTAATACAATGGGTGTCTGGCAGCGGCAGATTTAGGATAGGGTAGAGCACTGAGCCAAAATTGAAAAGAGGTGGAGAAGACTAGCTCTGGATCAAGGGGAGGATTGGGCCGTGGTCCGGGGGTGGCCACCCAAGATCCGCCGCTGGTGCTTGGTGCTAGTGAGTCCTCGTTTGCGCGCACGTGAACCAACCTAACAAACAAGGAAAGGATGCCTCTTCGGGCATCTGAGAATGATTCGGGCGGTAGAGAGTCAGCTGCTTCACTATATTTGAGGAGATTACAAAATACATAGGGATTGAGAAATATATATAGTACTTCTCCATATGGCCTAACTCTAATCTATCATGGTAAATAATAAGGTTATAGACTAGACTCGAAACAAAAACTTTAACGTATATAAGCCCATACACCATTAATCAGACACCATTGATCGGGGCGAGAGAACCTTTACTCTCCCGAGCCCCCTAACCAGACGTCTTGCTCCTAGACCCCGGCTAGCTTATCCGTCAACGAGACCCCGTGACTTCAATTCGAAGACATTGCAATTAAAGAAAAACAGACATAAGAATAAATACATATATATCCAAGAAATGCAGACTTGCGGAGGCCAAGCTTGGTACACAAACACCAAATAATGCGGTGTAATATTGAATGATCTATTATAAAATACAACCTCAAAGTTGGCATTAAGAGCAACAGAACATGAAAGTGCAAAAAATAATGGATTGAAAGTTTGAACAGACTAATAAATAATGTATGGGACACAAGCATATGCGTGGAAGTAAGAATGAGAGGTGCGTTGTCCTTCTCATTTCGTACGAAGGGTCATACCCTACCTACTACTATTTTGTCTTCTTCCCAACGATGTATGTATGTCCAGGATATAGTAACGAGAAATTCATCGCTAATTTTGTTGTGCAAATTACGGGTCGTTTGGAAGTTGTGATTTCAAATGCTGTATTGAGCCAATTCATGTATTTGTGAGATTAAGTCGCTTTTTGGCTTATATTGAAGTAGAATACATGCATTAATTTTTTGGAGGTCCCACTACAATCACTCATAGTTGAGATTCTTCACAATCACTCAAAATTGACTTTTTCTTGCTTTCTAACAAACCACAATCTAAACCTCCAAGCAATATATTTTTCTAATACATCAAATGATAATACAACTTCGATACACTACTTCACATGTTTTATCGCTAAAAATATTCTCTCCATGATAGCCGTTCAAACGGTCATGGTCAACACTAGACGAATCGAAAGACAAATCAATTTGTATTGTGTGTCCATCCCTATTTTCCCAACTTCACTAGTAATTTTGCAAGGGAAAAAAATTCATATTATCGACTAGGAACCACATGAGCGGCCTAATATCATAGCTCATTCTTCAAAGAATGCATCTCATAACATTCAAAGTCTCGAGGCTAAACTCTTGAGCAAGTTTGTAAATATTTTCTTCATCAAATGACCGAAAAGAACTGTTAGGATCTAGTGCACCAATCAGCTGAAGCAATCTAAATGATGACTCAACTAGTTTGTACATATTTTCTTAATCAAAAGACTGGAAAGAAAACTAGCGACCGGTGGACTGGCAGAGGTATTCAATTTGGGTCCGTTCGTTCCCTCGTTCTTTTTTGTTTTGTTTTGGGGGATTGAAGAATTTTCTTTTTTAGTTTTGACAGGGAAGGGTGAACTTTAATTTAGAGCTATTTTTTATATTTCAATGAAACTTTATACTTAGTCGTTTACGTTTTAGACTTTCAAGTTTTATTGTTTTTTAGATCAAAATCATTGGAGGGCTAAAATTTCTAGGATAAATTTATAGTGCTTTGGATATATCTAGACCATTTTCCTAGTTACACATAATGCTATTATAAATTAATACTCGACGACTTCTAATATTAGATCCGCCGTTGTATCTGCTTATGGGTTAAAAGTGTTAGAGAGATCCGCGGGCAGAGTCGGGATTTGAAACTACTCTTATTCTCTCTTCATAATAATTTTTTAAATAATTAAATAATAATTTTTTAATAATAAAATAAAAAATAATTATATCCAAACATTTCATTATTGATATCTTTTATGGCTTTCATAGTTAATTTTTTTAATTAAACAAATTGTTATAAGGATCGGTTAGATAATTAAAAAAATATAATTAAGTACTAGTAGTTCATCTAATTGCATTGCACGCCCTACGTTCTTTACGTCTTTTGGTCCGCCACCTGTCCCCATTCCATTACTCTTAGTAATCCCTCCATTGGTATTTCTATATATTCTTTTTATGAAAGTCGGATAATCCTCATTGTTATTTTATCTTCTAAAAAAGCATGGTAAAGGAAACCGTACCGGACATCATATCGGATTCCTTTCTGGTAGGGTATTTTGTGGTACGACTGTGGTTCAACCGTTTCATACCGGTAAATACCGTTTTTGTAATAATAAAATATATTTTTTGTCAAAAAATCGTGCCGCCAAAATCAGGATATCGTCTCGGAGTAATACCGGATATATCGGAATATACCGGATAATAAATGAATAAATACAAGTAGTTAGCAAATTAATAGGAAAAGAAGAAATTTTAAATAATAATTATTTTTTATAAAAAACTTTCCCATCATTTAATAGATTAATACGCGTGCATTTAACCCTTTCCCCATCTACCATCTTCTGTTCTTCCTCCCATCTCTCTCCCCCCCTCTCTCTCTCTCTCTCTCTCTCTCTCTCTCTCTCTCATATCGTCGTCGCTCCCGATTCCACCACCATCGCCTTCCTCTCCCTCACCGGCCTCGCCTTCCCATCACCGCCGTCGAATCCGGGGAGGTACAAGCAGAGCGCGCCACATTTGAATTCGTCTTCGTCGAGATCCACCTCATGTTTCTTCTTCCTCGCCATCGGCGAGATTCGTCCTCGGGGAAGAATTGGTGTCGAAATCGGTGGTCGATTCGTCCGGATTCTTGAACCACATGTCGAGCTCGTCGGCGGCGCTCGATCTCCCTTCGGCGCACGACTTGCTCCGCCGCATGTCAATCTCCTGTTCCAGCGCTCGATCTCTCCTAATTGATCTCCCTTTGGCAATTTTCAGTATTCGAACGATGACGTTTTCTTTCCAATGAGCCTACCGCCGATTAGACAAAAACCGGGCGGTTTTTTCGTTTGTACCGATTAAGTCGGAAAAACCGGCCGGTACGATATTTTGAAGCAAACGAGCCTACCGTATCGTTATTGGTCCGATTTTTGGTTTTACCGGTTCAACCGGCCGGTACGATCCGGTTTCCTTTACCATGAAAAAAGGAGCGGGCTTAGTAGGGGTAAGGCCCTGTCTACTTTATTATTAATGACAGGCTGCTCCGACTGTGTGGTATTTGTGCTTTCTTGCAGGAACCTTAACTATGAGAGTATGAGACAACCGATGGGAGTCCCTTATTATCATCACTAGAAGGATTCATTCGTACGTCTCTATGGGATACTTGTATTGCTTCTACAACAGGTACACTTGCCTTAGTTGTAACATCCCGGCCAAGACAACTTCAATCAAGCACAAGGTGTTCCAGTACAAGGGTTTGTTCCTCAGTCCCTACCTAATAGTTCCAATTTCGAGGACGAAATTTTTATAAGAGTGGAGGAAATGTAACACTCCAACATTTAGGGTTCAGGTTCAACAATAATTAATAAATGAACGGTTCGATGGACGGTTACGTGCGACAACTAGGGGTGAACAAACACACCCGCAAACCGACCCACCCGTCCAACCCGACCCAACCCACCCGTATTTATCGATAAAACGAAAGTTTTGGGTTGGGTGAGGGTCTTCGTTTGTACAACCCGCCTCCTTTGGGTTGGGTTTGGATTTTGGATTACACACCCGTAGAACCCGACCCAACCCGTGTTCCAACTATTAGTATGAGTTCGGATCTAAAAAATATTTATGTCGTATATAATCATATACTTATGAGAAAATTAAGATATTTCGGCATTTTTTTCTCTCATGGTCTCCCTGATCTAATGCATTCTTCGACTTACAGTTTAGACATAAATTGAATATAGTTATGATTCACGTAATCCTTTTTCTTGTGTACAATTTTAATAGAATAACATATTATGGGTGCGTTTGTTTATAACATTTTTAGCCTATTTCAACATATATTGTGAAGAAAACAATACATATGTTGAAATAGATAACATTTTATTAAAATTCAAACAACATTTGTGAATTTTGATACCTTTCACCTCGGTTCATTCGTTTGAAATTTTAATTAGTTATAAAAGATTTTTATGATATAGAATAATTATGTTGGGTTGGGTTTTTACTTAAAAATATCGCCAACCCGACCCAATCCAATTAGAAACAAACCGTAGGGCTTAAATTTTTTTGGGTGGGTTTGAGTTTGATATTTCCCAAACCGTAGTGCATGAGTCGGGTGATTAAAATGACTAAACCCGAACCACCCGACCCATGTACACCCCTAGCGACAACCATGGATTAAGAATAATAATAATATTGATTATATTATTATTGTTATAATTATATATATAAAAAAAGAGGAGAATTAACCCCACTCCCCACCCGTTACACTTACACCCTACACACTACCCCACCAATCAACCCTCCTGTAACGTCCTTTTATTTCCCATCCACGGGTCCGGATCCCATCAGTAACCTTTTTGTCAGTAATTGTCAGTAACCAGTTCATCTACCGTCCATTGCATTTAATTTGTAACCGTCAGATCAGGAAAATTAAATACACGGAGGGGCAAAGTCGTAATAGCGTCAACCCATTTAATGATGATACTGAGTTTAGACCAGATGCGGACCCCAAAATGACTCCCACCCCATGCCTTCCTCCCTCTTTTTCTCCACCCTCACGAGTCCCCATGCTTTCCCTCTCTCTGAAATCTGCAAACAAAAAAATAAATCATTTCTCTCACACATTTTATTGTCTGTGACTAAGAGAAGAAGAAGAGAAACAATTCTCTCTCATCTAAACTAAAAAAAAATGATCCATGTTTTTCCAAGTTTAACTCCAACTCTACAACACATATATATGAATCAAACCATCTAACTCTCTCTGCTCTAACTTCAACTCAAATTTAATGGTGATGTCTTTATTTAATCATTTATGCTTAAAATGATAATTACAAGTATGAATATAATTACCACCTTCTACAACTATGGTATAACATAATAAAATATGCTAAAAAAATTACAAATCTAATTACCATACAATAGCACATGGTAATACATGCTAAAAAATTTGTAAATCTAATTACCATATCATACCACCATAATAGAACATGATAAATCAAATGACCACAAATTAGTTATAATTATCACAGAGTACCATATGATAAGAGAAGGTACGTAAAATCATATAACAACAATATAAATCTAATTAGCACCCTCTACCAACATGATAAAACATGGCAACCACGCAGTACCATATGGTAAGAGAAGCTAAAACCATATAACAATAATATAAATCTAATTAGCACCCTCTAACAACATGATAAAACATGGTAACCACACATTACCATATGGTATAGTGTGGTAATCTCAATATATATAATTACAACTTTATTCACTTTCTTGTCCACTTCATTGTCTTTAGACTCTTCTTTCCCGGAACTGGTGTCGATGACCACCCTCTACCACCATGGTAACCATAAAAATACGTTTGTTACCACACATTACCATATGGTATAGTGTGGTAACCACAAAAAAACATCTAGTTATCACATAATACCACCATGGTAAAACATGGTAACCATAAAAATACGTTTAGTTACCACATATTACCATATGGTATAGTGTAGTAACCACAATAAACATCTAGTTACCACATAATACCACAATGGTAAAACATGGTAACCATAAAAATACGTTTAGTTACTGTTACACCCCGCTCTTTCTAAGAGTCAGAATGACTATTTTACCCTTGGATAAATTTATCAAGTTTCACCATAATGTCAAGGAGGATTAAAAATGTGAGCTCTCGGTTCAAACGGTGTCGAATTTCGATGTAAAATGAAGAAGTTATCACCGTATATGGATCGAGTGGGTTTTACTTTGTTAGTTGGGTCGGTTGTTGGAGTGAGTCTGGTTTGGGTTCGTGGGCTGTCAGGTGGGGAGATAAAAAAAAACGGATTGGGCTTAGCCCGAACTAAGAGAAGGAGAGGGAGATGTGGGGTGGTCGTCGGCCCAGAAGAAGGAGAGGAAGGAAGGTGGGCCTGAGGCCCAAGGAGAGGAAGTAGAAGCGGGCTGGTGGCCCGGGTCAGAGAAGAAGAAAAAAAAAAAAGAGGAGGCTGGCCTGTCGGCCCAGAAGAAGGAAGCAGGGCCTTGGCCCGAGAGAGAGAGAGAGCAGGCCTGGGGGCCGCCGGCAGGGAGTAGTTATTCTCCTCTGGGAATTCGACAGCAGCAGAGGAAGATGAAGCGGAGTCGGGGGTTCGCCGGAGAATCGGGAGTAACGGACGCCAGCTTTGGGGAGGGATTTTTCGGCAGAATTTAATGGGCAATTAAGTGGGGATTGTTAAACGATCTAGATCAGGATTAATAAAAACAAGGATGAAGTACAGAGGAGAAGCAGAGTGCGAGGAGAAGAGAGGAGTGTGGTGAGCCGTATCAACGAACGCATCCGCAGGTTCGAAATGAAGAAAACAACGCGAGCCCTGAGAAGAGGAGGAAGGAGGGCGGTTCGTGGACGCGCGAGGAGTCCCAGGAATGCAGCGGCGATGACAAATCTCGACGGTGACCTCGACGTTCGCGTCGTCCCCGGCGTCGACGAGGCGATTAATGGAGCAGGGGAGACGGAGAGGATGCAGGTCTATCCTCCGAAGCGACCAAGGGCGTTTGCGGTCCGGAGCTGGCCTCTCAATTGTGGCCTGAGGAAGAACGATGGGCAGGGCGGTGTCGGAGTTTCCACGGAGATCGTCGGCGGGGCGCGGCTGTCCGAGGAGAAAGAAGAAGAGGACGAGCCAGAGGAGGGGCCGGAGGAGGAGTCGGAGCCGGAGGAGGAACTCGACGGTGGCTGGAGTTGGTGCGGCGACGGCGACATCGTGGAGGTGAGGGGTCTTCTCCCAGAATGTTGGAAATAAATGGCATGCTATTATAAATTTGATGAACAGTGAGGGGCATATGTGTCTTTTTGGATTTGGACTAAAATGTTTAAATCAGAAAGTGGAGATTGGCCTGGAGGACTGAATTGAGCAATTCTAGGATTTCGGGGCCGAATTGATAAGACCCAGGAATTTTAGGTATCATTTGGTAATTTGCCATTTTGGGGCAAAAAGGTAATTTTCCAGAATTTTATGGGGAATCCTAGGAATGATTAAATGGAGGAAATTGGGGTTGAAATTAACCAAATTGAAGGTCGTTTGGTTAGTTACGCTTAGAGATAAGTGGGTTAAGTTTTGCCTAAATATCTAATAGGAGGAAATGAAAAAGGAAGCGAAGCACGAGGAGTTGGAGCGTGGAGTTTCGGAGGATGACGTGGGTCAACCGTCAATTAAGAAGAGTCGTCTTTTCGAGGTGAGTGTAAAGGGGGTAAAATCTCCGTCGAGGTCTTTTTAATTTATGCTTTTCGTTTCAAGCTAAGTTATTATTTAGTTAATTTGTGAGTAAGCGCGATTATGTGTGTGAGGCATCCCACCGCCTACTTAAGGTGGAGGCACGCGTTGTGCTATGTATGTGAATGTGTGTGGATGATGGTAATTGAACCCCCGGGCGGTTGGGCCACTACTGGACGCAGTAGATGGTCGGGTCACTACTGGACGGCGAGACGTAACGCAGTAGTTGACGGGCATGGACTGGACGGCGAGACGTAACGCAGTGCCATTGCCGAGTATGGGTATGCAACCGGACGGCGAGACGTAACGCGGTTGGCATACTAGGGTAGGACACCGGACGGCGAGACGTAACGCGGTGGTCCTAGCGGTTTGTGTTGAGATAAGGATAGAGGTCGAGAACTATTATGAGTTAATGTTGAAATGAGTTGATAAGAATGGTTATTTAAGAGCAGAAAGCGAGAACGGGTTTCATGCTAGGAAGGCATTCCCCTAATAATGTGTTTAGTAAGGAGTTTGCCTAGGGCAAAGACCTTAGGAAGTAACGACGAGACTGACCCCTTCTCACTCACCAGGTTGAGGAAGGGTTAGCAAAGGTGGATCCCGAGAAGAGGCAGTGTGAGGCGAGCTACTGCACCAGCATGGACGAGACCTCAAGGAACCCAACCAGGAGTTAGAGCTAGAGTTAGTTTAATTATTTTGTTTATGGTTATGAGTATATGTACTGGAGATTCAAGGTTCAAGATTTTGGATTAAGTTGTTTTAAGTGTTTGAGATTGAGATTTTGCCCAAGTGTTGGGGCTTTTTGATTTAAAATTAATAAATAAAGTCAGTTTGTTTATTTTAAAATGTGGTTTGGGTTGCCCCGGAGTGACCGGTTTTCGGTTCGAGTTACGGTTTGGTTTTGAAAAAGAGTCGGGACGTTTCAGTTACCACACATTACCATATGGTATAGTGTGGTAACCACAATAAACATCTAGTTACCACATAATACCACCATGTTATAGTATGGTAACTACAATATACATCTAAGACATACTTCACATGCTCGTCCTCTGCCTCCTCTCATTTTCTCCTCCGCGTTTGAGAATACAAAAATAAAAATGAGGAAGATTGGAATTGAAAATCCGCAAAAAAAATACTAAAGCATAAAACATGCAAACTCGACTCACCTAGATCTTTCCCCTCTTGATCGATATGGAGCTTCACCAAATTTGAGGTCGAGGACCTGACAAAGAGAAGAAACATAATGAAAGAAGGAGAATTCACTTTTCCCTCGTCCATTTTGGTGGGAAAAAAAAGAAGAGAAGGAGGGAGTATCTCACGAGAAGAAGGATCTCGATGAGAAGAAACGCAATGAAAGAAGGAGGCTACACTTTTCTTTCGTTCGATTGCTGGAAAAAAAAATGAAGAACTGAAAAAGAGATTAGATCTGGAGAAGAAGAAGATTGGAAGAGAGAAAGAAAGGGGAAAGGAAAGTTTCAGGAAAAGAGGAAAGGTTGCATTCTCTCTCCTCCATTCAAACCAGCTAATAAATGCTGGACAAAATAAAAAGGAAAGAATACGAAGCTAAAGTAACGGACAAAAATACCCCTTACCATCTCCGCATCCATCCCAACCACATGATGAATCCGCCCAAATCAACGGCTTGTAGATGGTTACTGATGGGTGAGTAACCAACAGTTACTCACCCTATCCTGAGCCCCCATCCACCTCCTAATTATTAAAACTAATTAACCCCACTAGTGATGGCAATGGGGCAGGGCGGGGCGGGTACCTCAATTCCCATGCCCCGCCCACGCTACTACGGGTCGGGGCGGGTAAAACCCGCGCGGGTACGGGGCAGGGCGGGTCGACCCACTCTTACATGTCGTTCAAAAAAATACAAGTAAATTTTACTTTTGTTTACACCTAAAATATTTTTGGCCTAAATTCGATGCCGCGGGTAAAAAACGGTGTCGTTTGGAGTTGAGCGGTGTCGCGGAGAGTTAAAACGGTACCGCGAAACAGAAAAGCGGTACCGCAAGGAAGCTCAGCGGTATCGCGACACAGACAACGGCACCGCCGGAAAATAAGAACGCGCGTTTTGGTATTGGTGTTGGAAGGGGAGTTTATTATTATTATTATTATTATTCCTTGTGGGAAGGGGAGAAGCGGTACCGCATGGAGACAAGCGGCACCGCGGGGAGTTAAAACGGTACCGCGAAACAGAAAATCGGTGCCGCGAGGAAGCTCGGCGGTACCGCGGAACTGGAGAGGGGCCGCGCAGTGTAGGTGTTGGGGAAGGAGTTTTGTTTATAATTAATTAATATTTTTATTCCTTGTTGGAAGGGGAAAATCGGTACCGCATGGAGACAAGCGGTATCGCGGAGAGTTAAAACGGTACCGCGAGTAGGCCCAACGGTACCGCGGATTAGCAAACGACAGTGTTTAATAATAAACAGTGTCGCGGAAGAAAAAACAAACGGAGCTGGTTGGGAAAGAAAACGACACCGCAAGGCTGGAAGCGGAGTCGTTTAATGTTAAAACGATCGCGGGTAGAATCAAGCGGTGCTGCTCAGTTAAAAACGACACCGTTTAAGGCATCAACAACGCCGCAGTATCACTAAGCGGTGTCGTTTAGTTAAAAACCATACCACAATGGTTTGGATTTTGGCGAGGCCTGGCAAGCACAACGGTGCCGTTTGGTTGAAAAAGAAACAATGTCGCGGAATGGAAAACGACATTGTTTGTCAGCATCGATTAGTGAAAGGTGAGGCCGCGGTATTGGTGAAATGACATCGTTGCATGGACAAGGTTGTAGGATTTGGCTCAATGTCGTTTCGCCAAGTTTCTGCAAACAGGAGCGGTTTCGATGGCACGTGATTTTTACGCAAAGCAGAAAGAGGAGATCAAGGCAGTTGAGACACGTGGGATTTCACAACGGAGCAGTTGAGGAAGCGGTTCCACCGAGCGTGAAGGCTACGAAGCAGTTTTCGAATAAAAGCAGTGGAGCAAGGAGAGAGAAGGGGAACCAAAAATCAACACAGAACAACTCTGTCAAACTTTACCTTTTCTCTGTAACTCCTTCGCGGAGCTCTCCTTCCAGGAAGGATCTCCATAGTTGTAGTCTTAGTCGTAGTCGCGGAGCTCTCCACAGGAATCTCCATAGGAGTAGCGGTAGCGTAGATTCCTCAAAACTCAAACACCCTCGTTCGAACGTAGTTTGGAGAGGTGCGAACCGAATAACGGTTGTTTGATTAGAAGTCAAGGGTGTATCGATCAAATCAACGACGCCGACACCGGCGGCGGATATTTGACGATCTTCTTTGTTTTCTGTTCGATCGATCAAATCAACATCGCACGGCGGTGGATATTTGACGATCGTCATCGTTTTCAGAAGTCAGAGTTGCACCGATCAAATCAACGACGCCGACATTCGGTGGCGGATATTTGACGGTCGTCTCGATTTCAGCTACCAGCGGTGCATTCGATCAACGGCACCGCAAGAGTTTCCATCGCGAAACATCGAATCAACATCGCCGGAAACAAATTCGGCACCGGCGGTGGCATTTGGTTTTCCCGGGGAAACATTTTGGCACACTTGGTGGGACACGTGTGTTTGAAGTGAAATATGGCTCTGCGGCATGGAAAAAGCAATGTTGATCTTCCACAAGAATCTCTGAAGGTGGAGCGCGTGGTCGGCATTGAAGTTGACCAAGAAGAGGAGGCAGATAGACATATCGGTTGGATGAAGGAGCGGCCCCAATCCATGTCGAGCATCGATGGGCATGTTGCACTCCTGTCTCTTCGTCGATCTGTAGAAGAGTATTACCAGCAGGTACATCTCTATTTTATCTCTTTAAACAAGCCTTGTGATTCTCTTGGAAGACATATGGATAAATTTTTTGAGATGATAGATGAACATGTTTCCGGTATTGCCAATAAGGATTCATTTAAACTTGTGGCTAAAACAGCGGCGTTAGGGGCCAGCAATTCTCATGTTGTTTCTCCTGTGAACACTATTGTTTTGAAGGACTGGAAAGTTAGAGCGGTCTTGCGAAAGCCACAACAAAGAACAAAATTTAAACGTGTTTATAATAAGTTTCATAAAATTAGGAAGAACAACTGTGATATCTTGAAAGATGACAAATTTTACAATGTTGTTCAACCTAAGCCGCTCGGGGGGCATGCCATCCCATCTCGTGGTAGATTGAAGGAGAAACAACACCGTAAGTGGCGAATAAGTTTGCCACATCCACCTTGTTCTAGGAAAAGTCAAACTAGGATCACCACAGACACTACTCAAGATGGAGGTGGTGATCACGTGAAAAAACTCAATGCTGCGAAAGTTGGTATTGCTCAACCGATTCCTTCGTGTAAATTGTCACCAAAGGCTCTACTGAGTGGAAAGGGGGGCAAGTTTAATCGAGCCCGACATAGGGTTGCCACACCAGTGCTGGCTGGGAACAAATCCATGAGTGGTGGTCTTGGGGTCAAGGCCAATGCCAAACAAACTCCAAACTCACGTGGAAGTTCAAAAGATGCAAAGTTGTTGTGCGATAAGTGCAAAGATCATGATCGTGGTAAACAAAATACCAACACACGTGTTGATGGAGCTAGTAAATCTCGATGCTCAAACTCCCAACAACATTGTGAGAGTGTACAACTGACAAAATCAGACCAGTCTGGGCAAGCAAGGTCGCATGGTCGATTTAGCAGGACAAACGCGCCAAAAGACGTGGGTTCCCTACCTAGAGAAAATAATACATGTAGTTCTCATTGGCCCAAACCTGAGTTGAGGCCAAATCGAGATCGTGGAGTTTCGAACAAGAATGTTCGAGCTAAATCCAAATGTGACTTCAAAACTTCTCAATCTCGTGTAAAGCCAATTCTGATGAGTCATTGTGTTCACGGATGGCTTGTTTGGCTTGATCCGTGGAGTTGGCAGTGGGTGTGTACTTTTGGCAGGATGGTTTATGCCAAAGACAACCCTGTTATGTTTAGCTACTATTAAATAAATAATGTGGCTAATTTAGGCCACGTGATATATAAAAAAACAAAAGAATAATAACAAGGTGCAAGGTCGAGCAGCGTTGAGGGAGTTCCAAATTGCTCTGACCGTATAACAACGTTGGTGTTGAATTTTGGCCCGCCAACAGCTGGACAAGTATGCAGTGTTGTTTTTTAAAGAAAAAGAGTGGCCAAGCAACGTTTGTGAAGCTTGCCGCAGCCTTGCGGGAAAAAGAGGGATATTTATGAATGACCGTTTAAATAAATAAGTAAAAAAAAAAAAAGTAATTAATTAATAAAACAGCGTTGCGGTGCAACTGTTGTTGAGTAGTAGTATGATAATGAAACTCGACCGCTTTGTTCTTTTGAACAACGTTGCTGGCAAAGGAAAAATTGATAGTAGCTCAATTTAAGGAAACGCCGCTGTTTTATCATCAACAGCGCTGCGGGAGAAAGGATGCAGTGATGCAAATCTGCCTTGGGGCAGTTGCAAATAAGGCTATTAAAAGTTTGGCCAAAGCAAAAAAAAAAAAAAAGTGTTTGACCACAACGTTGCTGCTGTAGAAGAAGTGGTGGGCAAAAAAAAAAAAAAAAAAAATTAAACGAGGCTGTTGGTGAACAATGCGGCGCTGACCCATACGAGCATCGATCAAAACGCTGTCGTGTGGGCACTACACCGTTGCAGGTTTTATCCTTTTCTCCGTGAGCCGCACAGCAGGCCGAGAATTATACCCGAAGAGGAAGAATGGTTTAAGTAAAAGGGATTTCCTCAATGTTGGAGTAGTGCTCCGCAGTATTGTTTGGCTTTCATCCTGGCAGGCGCCAAGACAATGGCTAGTTGAGAATTGAGATCAACAGTGTTAATGTGTAACGTGCTTGAATGGGGAATCCAGCACCCACGTTACATAAGGAGGATGGATTGTTTGGCCAAAGGTTCCACGTCAAGTTTGGCTTGTTTTGTTTCCTGAGAAAATTATTTTAGGTGGTTAATCTTGTGTCAACAACTTAGTTCATAAGAATTGATTCTTATAAACTAAGTTGTGGGGGGCATTGTTTACACCTAAAATATTTTTGGCCTAAATTCGATGCCGCGGGTAAAAAACGGTGTCGTTTGGAGTTGAGCGGTGTCGCGGAGAGTTAAAACGGTACCGCGAAACAGAAAAGCGGTACCGCAAGGAAGCTCAGCGGTATCGCGACACAGACAACGGCACCGCCGGAAAATAAGAACGCGCGTTTTGGTATTGGTGTTGGAAGGGGAGTTTATTATTATTATTATTATTATTCCTTGTGGGAAGGGGAGAAGCGGTACCGCATGGAGACAAGCGGCACCGCGGGGAGTTAAAACGGTACCGCGAAACAGAAAATCGGTGCCGCGAGGAAGCTCGGCGGTACCG